ATACAGTATAAGTTGCATTTTGACTTTCTAGTGGTTTTTACTCTGCTACTAAGGCCTTGTCAACTCTACCATGGCCTCTACCATGTATCGTAATTATTGTATTATTGGAGCCTACATTTCTTTTTTTTTGTACTAACGAGTGGTAGGCCATTACTGGTAACAACATTCTTTGTCTTTTCGAAGCCACTTTGCAGCCACTTTGCAGCGCAAATCGTGATTCGGAAATTTTCTGCACCGCTGCAAAAGCGCTGTTTATCGCTGTAAAAGGGCTTTCCGCTGCAGCCAAAATTTGCGGCTGCTGCAGCCCAGCGCTTTTACAGCTCTTTTGTAGCGCTTCTTGAAGCCATTCTGCAGCGCAGCAGCAGCGCTGCTCGTTTCGTACGGGTGTATTGTCATGTATTACCATGTATTGCCGTGTATAGCCATGTATAGCCATGTATTACCATGTATTGTCATGTATTGCCATGTATTACCATATATAGCCATCTATTGCCATATATAGCCACATAATGCAATGTAGCCATGTATTGCCATGTATTACTATGTATTACCATGTATTGTCATGTATAGCCATGTATTACCATGTACTGCCATGTATTACCGTGTATTGCGATGTACTGCCATGTATTACTATGTATTACCATGAATTGCCATGTTTTACTATATATTACCATGTAGTGCCGTATATTACCATGTATTGCCATGTATCACCATGTATCGCAATGTATAGCCATGTATTACCATGTATTACTATGTATTACCATGTATTGGCATGTATAGCCATGTATTACTATGTACTGCGATGTATAGCCATGAGTTACCATGTATTGCCATGTATTATCACCTATTGCCATGTACTGCCATGTATTACCATGTCTTGCCATGTATTACTATGTGTTTTCATGTATTATCATGCATTGCCATGTACTGCCATGTATTGCTATTTATTACCATGTATTGCCATGTATTGCCATACAAAGCCATGTATTACTACGTATAGCCATGTATAGCCATGTATTATCATGTATTGCCATGTACTGCCATGTATAGCCATGTATTGCCATTTATTACCATGTATTGCCATTTATTACCATGTATAGGCATGTATTATCATGTATTGCCACATACTGCCATGTATCACCATGCATTGACATGCAAAGCCATGTATTAATATGTATTGCCATGTATTACTTTCTAGTACTATGTATTACCATGTATAGCCATGTATTACATGTACTGCCATGTACAGCCATGGATAGCCATGTATTGCCACGTATTACCATGTATTACCATGTACTGTCATGCGTTACCATGTATTGCCATGCAAAGCCATGTATTACCCTGTATTTTCATGCATAGCCATGTATTACTATGTACTGCTACAGTATAGCCATGTATTGCTATGTATTACCATATATAGCCATATATTACCATGTACTGCCATGTATTACCATGTATTGTCACTGTGACACATCAGAAACTGAACTTTCTTCGACTCTTAATTTTAAAAACTCTACGATGGTCCATGTACAGGTTAGCGAAGTAGTTGAAATTTTGGAATTAAAAAAAATGATTTAGTGTTTTCTCTTGAGATCAGTCGCGCCATACATTCAAAAGAGGTTTTCTCGTCTCTCGAAAGCATGATTATAACTCGAGACTTCAACATCTACGAATTTCAATTTACCAACAAACGGAGTCTGATTGATATCATTGTAAAAGAAAATGACAATATATAGGATGAATAAGGATTAGAAAGTGACATGAACATGGAGTGCCTGTGATTGTTAAAGAAAATGACAATATATAGGATGAATACGGATTAGATAGTGACATGAACATGGAGTGCCTGTGATTGTAAAAGAAAATGACAATATATATGATGAATACGGATTAGAAAGTGAGATGAACATGGAGTGCCTCCAGAGAAATTTGGCGTCCTTTGGTCTCAAATTAGAGTCGGTACCAGGAAATGGCGACTGCTGCTTCGTTAGCATCGTTAAGGAGCAAACAAGTTAATGCTCAGCAACGATGAAAATAATGCTGAATTTCGGCGACATTTAGATCGCCTTGGCTTTCAAGCATCTCTGAATGAAGAAACAAAGTTGTTAAGGTCACTATTTTACAAGGAAATAGAAGAAAATATTGAACAATACAGGAACTTTGTGGATTTTGATATAAATGAGGAGTTATCGAAGTTCTCTGTATCAGGACGGTTCAACAGTTCCCTTGGAGATCTTTGTGTTCTTGCGTGTAGCAACCTTCTGGAGACCTCAATAGTTTAGATAACATCTATTCCGGGCGCCCCATTTATACCATTTGTTCCGTCAACAATTTGCAACAAAATGGCCATCTTCATAGGATACAACCATTCTGGGCCTGGACACTATGATGCTACTCGAGGTGAGGAACATTGTATTTATCGCTGTAATGATATAGGTTTCTTGAGTGGTATAAATTCTACTGAAGAGATCATGAGCAAAAGTGAGATGAACTACAGTGGAGCCCCGCCTTATGGCCACCACGGTCGATACGGTAACCTTGTTATTAAGATCACATTTTTTAGCTGCCTGGCAAAAACGACTATTCATTTTCTTGTAAAGAAAGCCTTGTTAATACAGTCACCTAGTTAGTACGACCACTTTTTTTGGTCTATTGGTATCAACGGGGTTTTTTCGAAATTTTCTCTGGTCGCCGTGGTATTGTTCTTTGAAGAAATAGAAATTCAGAAACAGAGGGTGCGGTGAAAGTTCTACATGGTTTGCAATCTTCTTTCTTTTGAATAGAAAATTTCAAATTTTTGGGGCCGCTAATCAATGGGACAACGTTAACCCTGACGGCTCCTTGTTTTCCCACACAAATGACAGTGGTTTACGCCCGCGCAACTTTTGCCTTGGCCCGGTGGAAAAATCCAACAGAATTACATATTCGACCGCCAGTTTGACTGAGTTGGGTAAAACCGAGCGATTGCCACCAATCAACAACATGCTGATGCTTCGATGACAAAATCTTGCACTCTGGAATACTGCTTTTAACCAGTATGTATCTCCGATACCGGTCATTAGCACACAACTTTTTAAAACAAATAGCTCACTACGAAGGTCAAGGTTTTTGCGATCTTATAATTGCAATAACTATGTTGTTTTTTCTCCAGGAGAATATGCTACTAATCAACGCAATAATTTAGCCATGGTCCAGCGCTCCACAATGATTCCCGTTAGAATAACACAACGCCCTCAAGCACCACATGAAAATAAATATCTGCATGTGCGGTTTTATGATAATTTTCGTAAATGCAACAAAACAGCAACACCTCGAAATTGCATTCAGATCAAACTAGACGCCTTAATAGACGATTAGACGATTTTATGGTTTTTAGACCACGCCAAAGGAGGCAAACACTCGATATATGTATTCAAATTGACAACAATGTTATTGATCGTGTGAAAGAAACAGTATTTTTAGGTGTTATCCTCGATGAACATTTGTCATAGAAGCCTCACATTCTTAGCGTTTCTAGAAAAATATCAAAATCAATAGGCATTATTTATAAGTCAAGTTTTTGCCTTCCCAAAACTTCCTTGCGCTCCTTGTACTATAGTTTAGTTTACCCTTACTTAACTTATTGTGTTTCAGTGTGGGAATCGACATATCAGTCAAATGTAAATCGGATTATTATTCTGCAAAAGAAGATAATCAGCATAATATCTAAAGTTTCTTTTGATGCTCATACCGGTGTTCTTTTTAAAGAGCAGGAGATTTTAAAATTCTCGGACATTTATTTACACCAAATAGGTAAATTTATGTATCTTTTTAAAAGAGGCTTACTTCAAATTATTTCCGTGATACGTTTACTCTTGCAAGCCAGATACATTCTTACAATACGAGAAATTTCAGCCTTTTCTATATACCTCATTGTCGAACTCATTTTCGAAAATTCTCAATTCGGTTTCAAGGTCCTTCGTTTTTCAACTCGCTAAGTCGGGAAATTCAAAACAGTGAAAGTATCAGTTTGTTTGGCAAAAGACTTAAAAAATTCCGTCTTTCTAAGTTAAATTGACTCTTTGTTGAGCTACACACCCTTTCTTTTCTTTTTTCTCTTCTTTTTTTTTCTCTAAAAAATGAATCCAAATTTTCATTCAGTATCCTTAACCTGCATGGTTTACCCTATAGTTCCAGGAAGCCTATAGTTTATAAGCCCCCGGCTTCTATATGGGCTTCCTTGCCTTTACCACATTTAATCTTGTACATAACTTAATTGGAATATTGTATATTACCTTTAATGTATTTCTGTATACTGTTGCTGTATTTCTGGTTAATGGCAAAATAAATGAATGAATGAATGAATGAATGAATGACGACAAAAGCACAAACAAAAGTCGACCTAAACGAAGCTCATTACACAGTTTCTGTTTGGTTAACGCACGCTCTCTTCTCCTGAAGCTTGATGAGTTAAGTGCATTGCTGGCTACAAACGTAGTTGATTTCGTGGCAATTACTGAAACATGGCTGAATGGGGATTTTGAAGATCACCTGTTATCGATTTGTGGTTATAACATTTTCTGAAGAGACCGGGTGCACAGTTGAGGGGGTGGTGTTTGCGGTTATCTGGCTCAAAACATACCTTGTAGACATCTGCCGGACCTGGAAAACCCAATTTTGAATGCTTATGGGTCTGGTTACGCCCTAACCGGCTACCAAGACCACTTTCAGGAATCGTTGTGTGCGTGGTTTATCATCCACCAGGACTCCCCGCAGAAGATCACCGAAGCCTCAATGAATATGTAATTAATACCATTGACTTTTTGAGAAATAAGTACCCAGACTGTGGGGTTGTTGTTCTTGGTGATTTCAATGATTTTGATATTTCACAACTCCTGTCTAGTCATAACTTAAAACAAGTAGTGCAATTACCGACTAGAGGCTCTGCCATTTTAGATCTTATAGTCACAAATTTGCGTAACAAATATATAAGCCCGCGCATTTTGGCTCCACTAGGATGAAGTGTTCATACCATTGTACAATGGTTACCTAGTTTGGGAAACGTTACACACGCAAAGCCTACTAAGCGTTTGGTACGTCGGTACCCCCAGTCTGGTATTGACGTTTTTGGGAGTTGGGTAACCGCACATGACTGGTATAGTGAACTTGGTTCCACTCCAACTGCCGCCGATTTTACTGCTGCCTTTACATCACAGCTAACTGGAGCGGTGGATCGTATATTCCCTCTGAAAACCTTTAAGTGTAACCATAGTGACAAGCCTTGGATAACATCAGCCATTAAACTGTTAATTAAAGATCGACAGAAAGCCTTTCACAGTCTAAACTTGCCCCTGTGGCCGTCACTAAGGCACAAAGTACAACAAGAAATTACTGTAAGGAAGAAAGCATACTATAAAAACAAAGTCCAGCATTTAAGGAAAGACGACTGCCAAAGGTGGTGGGGAGCTGTCAATAGACTGACCATCAGGTCCGAGAAAGCATCGTCTTACTCGCTGGAATGTGATGGCAAAGTCCTCAATGAGACGGAGTTAGCTGTCACCTTAAATCAATTTCATGTTTCCAGTAATGAGGACATCCCACCTTTGGATGCCACTAAAATACCAGCTTTCTTGCCGGCCGAGACTTGTGTCCAACTATCCAACCTCATGAAGTTTGCAGGAAGCTCTTGGCAGTTCAGCCTTTCAAAGCCCAGGGACCTGACAATGTGCCATGTCGTATTTTGAAAGAATTTGCCTATGAATTAGCGGAATCTGTTACCACAATTTTTAACGCATCCCTTGCTTCTGGAATTTTTCCTGCTATTTGGAAAGATTCAAACATCACACCAATCCCAAAGATCCAGTCTCCTACAAATGAAGGTGATTTCAGACCTATATCCCTAACGCCCTGTTTGTCCAAGGTTTTAGAGGACTTTGTGGTTGCGTGGATGATTGACGATATCAGGAATAGGATTGCCCCTAACCAGTTTGGCTGTTTAAAAGGTACATCCACCTCGTTTTGCCTCCTCGACATGATGCACACCTGGTTGTCCTATCTAGATTCACCTAATAGACACCTCCGTCTTTCCTTCTTGGACTTTTCAAGAGCCTTTGACCGTATTAGTCACAACGTACTGATTAAAAAACTGGTAGATTTAGGTGTTCGACGGTGTCTTATACCATGGATCATTAGTTTCCTCTCAGACCAGAGACAACGCGTAAAAATTGGAGAAGCATTTTTGGATTGGCTGCCAGTCAATGCTGGTGTACCCCAGGGAACTAAACTGGGCCCTATCCTATTTCTCATCATGATCAATGACTTATCCATACTCACTCCTGAGACGAATCTCTTGAAGTTTGTAGACGATGTTTCTTTTTCGGAATGTCTTAATAAGAACGGTGGTACGTCCATTCAGTCTACATTAGACACTGTCAGGTCCTGGGCTTCGATGAACCTGATGAAGCTTAATGCTAAAAAGTGTAAAGAGCTACGTGTGCTTCTTTAAAGCGACCCCTCAACTACCACCCTTACGAATTGATGGACAAGTACTCGAAGTAGTTCGTTTGCACAAGGTTCTAGGTTTGGTTATCCAGGACAATCTGAAATGGAATGAGAACACCTGTATGATTGTATCCAAGGCATCCAAGCGTCTGCACATTATCCGTGTTCTACATAGAGGAGGTGTCAGTGCAGCTGATCTCTTTGTTATCTACGTTGATCTCGTACGTTCTATCCTGGAGCACTGTTGCGTGGTTTGGCATAACACCCTTCCCGCCTATCTGTCTAGTGAAATAGAGTGGGTCCAAATGCGAGCTTTAAGGATAATATACCCTCAATCCACGTACCAGGAAGCCTTACAATGTGCTAAAATCACTAGACTTGAAGACACGGGCAATGAAATCTGTATGAGGGCTTTTGATAAAATTACCAAAGGCGGACCCTTGTCAAAACATGTAACCTCGATAAGGTCTATTGCCCATGACTAGTCCCTTAGAAACTCTAACTCTTGGACGTCTTTTAAATGTAAAACCAAGCGTTTTAGGCGAAGCTTTTCCCCTAGTACTGTCCTAATGGCAAACGCAACAACCTTCAAAAATTAACTGTTAAATGTTTAAATTTTAAAAATTAAATTCTTAGTATAACATTGCAAACACATTGTAATTCATTTTTAATGCGAGAATGTGTCGATTAAACATCTTTATTATTACTTAGTATTGAGAAAATCTCGTCTTTATTCAAGAAAGCACATATAGACAAAGTGTACTACAGTACCCAAAACACGACATGTTAACTACTGTGAAACTTCGCGGCCATCTTCAGAAGTATAATATAACCACAATTATTATGTCAACTGTAATACTTATACTATTTATATACTAATTGCGTCATGATTGGCTAGAGCTATGAAGAGTTCACAACTGACACATGCACGATAGCTGGTATAGATAAACTAAAAAAATAAGGTTCAACAAAAAGAGAAGAATAGATGAGTTAAACATAACATAAAAAGCACGTCGTCAGTCACGTTATGACAGCTAAGATGTCACCTGAATGAAGGTTTAATGGATGGAGGTAACAAATATAAATTTAACCTACATGTATATGTCTCTTGAATATATGTCCTAAATATATATGTTTTCATATATTTTTCATTATCAGAGATGGGGTGCCAAAACGTGTCAGACAGCCAGAACAAAAAGACAGGTTGTTGCTGTGGGTTAATGTCTAAGTCTCGAGGGGTGACAGATACTGCATCCTGCATGGAATCTGACAAATCAAGGTGCTCCTGGTTAAGGAATCAGCAAACTTGCACTCGTCTCTGTAGATGTATAAATTCCAATAATCAAGGTTTACAGGAAAAGGGAGCAGAGACTGGTATTCTGGACAGTGAATCTGATGCTGAATTTGATGCATTGCTTGATTCAATCAAACCTGTTTGGTCAGTCCGTGAGAATGGGTTCAAGGTCTTTGAATACATCAAACAGAAATCTGAGATGATGAAGAAGCATATGATTGCAAAAGTGCGAAGACTGGCTGGTCTTCCTTCCATTTCCTCAAGTGTCGATGTTCCCGTTAAGTTCTACACTTTGGAGGCTGAAAGCACTAACAACAGGATAAAGACAAAGAAGCAAAGAAAGGCGTCTGGTTTCCTAGGAACCATGGAAGCAATCCGCGTGATTGATGCAGAGCAGCAAGAGGATTTTGCGATGGCTGTTGCAGGCCTCCATGAAAATCTTCAATTAACAAAATAAGTTTGAAAAATTCAAACGTCCGGATTTTTTGGAACTGTCCTGTAGGGAAAGAGACAAGTTCCTCTGCAAGCTACGCAACACGAGCTTAAGTAAACTTTTGTCAGAAGATTTGTCCTCAGTTTTGTCTGGCAACACAACCAGAAAATCGTCATTGACATCGACATCAACATCAACAGCTGCATGTAGTGCTGAACTGACTGGTCCACAACCAGAGCCTACGGTCCATCAGCACCAAAAGATAGAGGTTGCCGATGATGATGCATGGCTGTCTGGCCTGCCAACATTTACTAGACAAGGGATCATAAGTAAAGCCAACAAGATTCTCCAGAGTGGGCAAGTCTTTGAAGGCCCCCTGAAAGGTACAACCGACTGGTTTTCAGTGGGGAGTTTTTCTGCAGAACGCCCCCACCAAGTTGCTGTTAAAGGTGTTGCCGGCGAGGTGTCTTGTGACTGTGAAGGGTGGCGTGCACAGAAATGCTGTGCGCATGCTCTAACTGTGTCCCAACAGAAAGGAATGCTGACCAAGTATCTCGACTGGTGTGCAAGTAAGAATCAATCTAACTTTACAAACATTGTCAACATGACTGTCAAAAGGAAAGCACTTGGACGAAAAGCCAAGGACAGGCTACCAAGAGATCGGAAAAAGAATGAACCACCAACTGTGCTAGTGCAGAAAAAAGCAGATAGTCGTAGAAGGAGTCTTCCAAAGGACAAGTCTGAACACTATCGATACAGAATTGTATTCCTGAGTGAAACAACTGCCTATAAGTGCTCTGGATGTGATAGTGCTGTGCGATGTCCACCAGCAGTACCAGAGTCACCAGAGAACATTGCTTTAACGACAATGGAACACCGCTCCTTTTTACGTGATGGGAAACTTCAGGTGAAGTTTCAGCGGACATATTACCATGTGAGAAGAGATTGCATCTTATCCAAAAATGATGCTTTTACTGGAGGAGCAATTTTTGTAGATGATGAGTCACGACTTGATGAGAATCATAAAGTTGCGCTAGAAAGAGAATTTGACCTCAAGTTCAAGGAATAATAACATTTATTTACTTAGCTCCTTTGAGGCCCTGAGTCACATGATCTACTCTGTAGCTCTTCAAAAAGTATTTTCAATTTCCTTTAAGGACTTCAATGTCGCGACTTCCTCGACCTCTAGACTTGAGCTCTATTATTATAATATACCGGTAGAGCTCAAGTCCAGAGATCAAGGATCATAAAAGAATCAGAAGAATGACAAAGAAGCCCTAAGAGGAGATCGTTTAGTGTGGAAATATATCTTCGAACTTTTGAATCTTATTCCCCTCTTTCTCTGTCATTTAGCCTGTAATGCCATCAATGCCATGGGGATGATGTGGCTCAGCTGCTAAGGGAGACAGGCAGCAAATGTTTTAACCTTGTGACTCAGTCTCATCATTCTTACTTCATGCTTTGTCTGAGTTGCCTCAACTGCTTTTGCTATGTTTCAGAAGCATTTTTAGGAAGATGCTGCCTTTGTTGTTTATGTGCAATAGCAAGAAATATCTCAGCCTGTCGAGACTGAAAGTTAAAATAAATACAAGCCAGACAAAAAAAGGAACATCTAAGAAAATAACACAAACAACAAGACCCCAGATTGGTTCAGTTTAATTAATACCAAAATACGTTAGTTTACTGGTCATAAAGGCAGTAGTGGTGTTACACAAAGGTAATGTAAAAAATTGATATTATTATCAATAATTATTGTTAATTGTCTACTCGTTTGGAAAGAAGGATTATTAGGAGCATCGGAGCTGATTAAAGGGCTCAACAGAAAGGGTATTTTCACCAATACAATTTCATTTGATAGTTAATGTGTGAAGTGTAGTTACTCTTCCCATGTGTGACAGTGAAACTGGGAAAACCAGAAATATTTTTGGAATGTTACAGGCCCGTAACCAGGGGGGGGGTGCACGGGGTGCATTCGCACCCCCCCACAGGCCTCAAAGGTCCGCATTTTGATACTCAATATCCAGTTTAAGGAGTGCAGTCGGTTAAACTGAAGTTTCAAACTTAACAGTGATATTTAAACAAAATCAAAGAATGGAAAAAGCAGTAGTGTATTCACTGGGAAAATAAAACCAGCTGCACTCTAGTAGCCCGAGCCATTCAGAACATTTCAATGAGCGCACAGATGTCCCAGCGTATCTATATGAAAGATGAAATTAACGTGCGCACACTTTTCAACAGGCCAAATACAGCAGCCAAAGCTCTTAAGGAGTGCGATGATGATCTCTTTCCAAAGAGGGTCTAGAAGAGGGATAGGCGTAAAGCGGCCAAAAATTTAGTCGATAGCCGTAAAAATTGAAAAATTTTAACCGTTAGCCGTAAATAGGGTAAAAAAGAGTTAACCGTAAAAGAAATTGTTTCCTAGGTTTGTTTATTTTAAGGAAGGTGCTAAACTCGCTTATGGTTGCTTTTTT